GTGCACATGTGTGTGCAACTGTGGTGGAAAAACCAGAATGCATAAAGCTGAACAAGACAGACATCTCATACATTTTTTGATGTGGTTGAATGATCTCTATACTGCTATAAGGGGTAATATCCTAATGCAAAGTGCTCTGCCTAGCATGGCCCAGGCCTTTGCCACAGGAAAAGAGACACATGAGGTGAAACCTCACAACAATACAACATTAGTATCAACTTCACTTAGTACCTCAGTTACTCACAATAATACTGGTTCCAAAGGTTTAATTTCAAAACCAACTACAATCCTTACAGAGGAGGTACAAGTAACTCTAACACATCCAACACCAACACCGACAACATGTTCAAATGTAGCTCTAACACTGGCAATAGGTCTAACTTGTTCTGTGATTTTTGCAAGCGATCTGACAAACCAAATACAGATGTTACAAGCTTCATGGATATCCATCATGTCAAAGGTTTCCCAAGGGTAGAGGTTCAGGTTCTGCAGCAAATGTGCACACTTTTGAGGAAGAGAAGAGCCAGCGTAAGGATACTTCTGATATGAACAGGCAAATGCCACTAAATTTGTCCAACGAACAATATGAATAACTGCTTAATATCTTGGTAACATTGCAAGCTGGACATGGAACTGATAATCCAAGCAACATGCTAAATGTTGTTGTGAATCTGGCAGGTATAATTGCTTATTACTCTTCAATTAATGAGATAGGTGATCTATCATGTAGGTATGCTAAACTAACTGCTGGCTCTTGAATCATTGACTCTGAGAATCACATAACATGACCTATAACAAGACCACACTCAAGAAAATCAAAATACTACCTTATCTCTTCCTAATCACACTACCTAATGGATACAAGGTTAAAGTAACTGAGATTGGAGATGTGTGTTTGAATTGAGTATTAACTCTATACAAAGTATTTTTTGTACCTAGTTTCAAGTTCAATTTAATATTATTTCATTGCTTGGCCTCACAACTTAAAGGTATGGTCAGTTTTAACAATTCCTCTTGTCTGTTGGAGGGCCCTTCTCTGAAGAGCCCTCTGGAACTTGGTAAAGCCAAGAATGGATTATACTTTTTGTCTCTCAAATGCCACAATTGCTGCCCACCCTCTGATGGCAACACAGTATCTGATTTCACTAATTGTTCCTTTAACATTCAGTTTGTTTCCTCTTTTGTCAATTGTAAAGAATTTGTTAATGCAAGAAATTGTCAAGCTTCACCATCATGTACTGTAAAATACCTTCCTACTATCAAATAAAGAAGCTTGCACTGTTGTTGGATCTAATGTTAATTCATCTTCTTTTGTTGTCAATTCTACTCACAATCATGATATTGAATCACTATGGCATGCTAGGATATGACATGTACCTTTTGTGAAAATGAGGAATATCTCCACTATCCCCATAATTTTTTCTACCAAACGGCCTTTCACATGTACTATATGTCCAATAGCTAAACAAAGTAGGATGCCCTTCCCTGAAAGCACAACCACAACCACCAAAATATTTGAGTTATTGCATATTGATCTTTGGGGAACATACCATATACCCACTCATGATGGTTATCATTACTTCTTAATTATGGTAGATGACTACAGTAGAGCAACTTGAACATAGTTGCTCAGATGCAAAAGTAATGCACTGCAAACTGTCAAAGCATTTGTTTCCTCATAGAAAATCAATTTCACACCAAGCAAAAGACCATTAGATCTGACAATGGTCTAGAGTTCAATAACAATGAGGCAACTTGTTTCTTCCAAGAAAAAAGGAATTATACACCAAAGGTCATGTCCCTATATAGCCCAACAAAATGGAGTGGTTGAGAGAAAACACAAATATCTCCTTGAAACAGCAAGAACACTCTTATTCCAATCCAAATTACCTATGAGATATTGGGGTGAATGTGTCCTAACTGCTACCTACCTCATTAACAAATTGCCTACATAATTACTACAAAATAAATCTTCTTATGAACTATTGTATCAAATAATGCACACATATCTTTGTTGGATCCATTTAATACAAAAGGGTACAAGGTCCTCAATCTAGCTACTAAAAGAGTTCATGTATCTAGAGATATGAATTTTCATGAGTTTGTTTTTCCTTTTGCAAATTCTCCTGTTGGTTTCAGTTTTGCATCATTTTAAAATCACTTATTCATAATACTAATGATATGTCTTGTATGTACGGTACACTTAATACATTTGTTGATGAGGACATGCTAAATTAAAACACATCCCACGGAGTTGTTAATAACCAAGTAACTACAAATACCTCTGAACTCATTTTGGATCCTAACATCTATCTTACACCTATACCGCCCTTGTCTGATTCAACTGATCTTGCTCCTAATGATGTTTCACCACCACCACTTAGAAGAACAACTAGGTTTGTACACACCCCCACCTATTTGAAGGAATATACCTACACATTGCCTAATCTTCACTCTTCTCCACCTACACCTGACCCTTCACACTCTCTTACTTCCCTAATTTCCAACCATGATTATGTCTGTTTCACTACTTTATGTTCTGATAGTCAACAGTTGGTAAAGCATATCTCACATGAATGTGGACCTTCTTTTTATGAAGAGGCAATTTTGAATCCAGCCTGGTAGTTGGCAATGACTCAAGAATTTGCAGCATTATATGCAAATGATACTTGGGAACTGGTCCCTTTGCCTAAAGGTAAGCATGCCATTGGATGCAAATAGGTATACAAGATTAAACACAAGGCAGATGGAAATGTGGAGAGATTCAAAGCTAGATTGGTTGTAAAAGGGTACACTCAAGGATAGATTAAAATGAGACATTCTCACCTGTGGTTAGAATGGCAACTGTAAGAATTTTAATTTTATTGGCTATTAAGAAGGGGTGGAGTTTATAACGACTAGATGTTAACAATGCTTTCCTTTATGGTGATTAAATGAGGTGTATATGACATTTCCACAAGGCCTTTTGTGGATAGTGGCAAGATAGTTTGCAGGTTAAAGAAATCATTGTATGGACTGAAGCAGGCTAGCTGGCAATGGAATTATAAACTGGCCAGTAGCCTTTGTTCCAAAGGATACACACATTCTGATAGTGATTACTCACTCTTTCATAGACAGAAGGGAGATTCCTTGGTGTTTGTTGCCATTTATGTTGATGATATAATATTAACTGGTACTGATTTGGATGAAATCACTTCTCTGAAGACATTTTTGCATGATCAGTTCAAGATTAAAGATCTAGGAAAATTACACTATTTTCTGGGATTGGAGATATTGTATAGACATGATGGTGCCCTTATTTCACAGAGAAAATTCACGATTGATCTTCTAAAGGAATTTGATTTAATGGATTATAAAGTCACCACATTCCCACTGGATTCTATTAAAAACTTAAAGCCACAGATGGGAAATTATTGACAAATCCTACTCACTACAGAAAATTGGTAAGGAAACTTAATTTTCTCACAAATACAAGGATGGACATAGCATACAATTTTTCAACATCTCAGCCAGTTCATGCAATCTCCTAGGGAACCACATTTGAAGGCAACTTATCATGTGCTTGAATACCTGAAGCAAGATCCTACACTGGGAATATTCATCTCCAACAAACCTGATCTAACAGTGACTGCTTATTGTGACTCAGGGCTGTTTGTCAAGATTCTAGAAAGTTAGTTAGTGGATACTTGGTACTTATGGGTGATAGGCCTGTTAGCTGGAAATCCAAGAAACAAGCCACAATATCTCTATCGTCTGCAGAGGCAGAGTACAGAGCTATTAGGCAAGTGGTGATGGAACTAGTATGGCTTGAAAGGTTACTAAATGAACTTACAGTGAAATGTTCTCTACCTATGCATGTTTTTTGTTATAGTCAGGACGCTATTCATATAGCCAAAAATTCAGTCTTCCATGAAAGGACAAAGCACATAGAGGTCGATTGTCACTTTGTTAGGAACAAGATTCAACAGGGACTGGTCACACTCCATCACATCTCCATAACCTCTCAACTAGCAGACATATTCACCAAAGCTTTGACTGGGATCAAACATACGACACTTATGAGCAAGTTGTCTGTGATCACATCACTTCCAACTTGAGGGGGGCTGATGAGAATATATTTCACAGTAAATTAGTTAGTTAGGTAGCTACAGTTAAATTAGTTACAAGTGGTTACTTAAGTTGTTACATGAAGTTAGTTAAAGATTTTTTTCTTATTTTGTATATAGACATAGTTCATCTTGTAATTGATTTACACATTCATTCTATACAATACAAAAGGTGCAATGCACATGATTTCTCTCCCACAAACGGTTGATTGATGATTTCTTCATAATTGCATTCAATCCACCATTAATGGAGGAAATCAGTTTTGAGTAGAGCTTGTACTCTTAGTTTTATCAATATTAATTTGAAAGCTAAAAGGGGTCTTAATTTGTGTATCTCATTTGGGAGTTTTTTTTTGTACTTTCTGTTGAAAGAACTTGGAAGCATCATACCTGCTAACGTTGGTAGTTGGATGACCCTGCTGGTTCTACATATCAGAGGTTAATCTAGCAGGGTAGGAGGGTGTTCACCCGAACCATCTCAGCAAAAAAAATAAAAAAATACACACATAAGGTAGATTTTGTGTCTATGTACGTATACAAATTTTAAATTTCTTGAACAACATGTAAAAGGTTAGCTCAGTGGTCGAGGGCATTCAAAATGCACCTCAACATCCAAGGATGTGAAAATTTTGAATCCGCCACTGAATCTAATGATGTTTTAACCTTACTCTGTTCCATTTCTATGATTGTGATCACATTTCTTACACAACTCATTCAAAGGGGAAGAAGAACAATGCAAGTGAAACGAAGTATTCATTTGCACATTTTGACTTCTTCTTTCATAGCATCTATTCACTAATTATAATTTGTAATTAAAATTGCAAAGCTTGTCTTCAGACTTGCTGGTAAATGCTGTTGGTACACCGCGACAATGTAATAGAACAGGATAGTCTAAATTGTGAAATGAGAAAAATTCTCTGTGTGTTTTTTACGCGCAAGTTATACAATAGAAAATTGAAATGAATGAGATCACAATCTGATGTTTCATTCAGGGGAAAAAAACAAAAGAATATCCAGAAATGATCAGGGTGATGAAAATGGAAGTAACACAAAGATAAAGCTTATGACTTGGAACATAATCAAATTGGAAAAAACACTAAATTACAACAGCATAGCATCGGCTTGGAGACGGATATGATGAGATTTAAAGTGCTCGCGATTTTATAATGTCAAGGCTCATTTCAGTAGGATCTGTTGCTTGCAATTCAACTTGAATTCCATCTATTTCTCTCTTGAATCTGTCCTTTGAACTCGCGTACACCATCTTCATCCTCACCTTTGATGTTTCAGGAGACCTAAAATTAATGTTTATCAGAAAAAGAGGATCATATAACATAACAATTAACATAGGTAATCAATTGATGTAACTTTGTAATGTACCAGGCAATGAAGAAAATCTTGCTTTTCTGGCAATTTTCATTAGTAACAAAGTCGAAATCAAAGACAGCATATCGGCATTCATCTGCAGGCAGAGCGTTGGTGAAATCTTCGTAGCTTTCTTCAGGGTTTCCAAGCTTCTCCACGACCACTTGTTGGGCGTCAATTTTGAAAATGATGAACCTGTAGATTCTCTTTGCTTTTAGCTCCAAAAACTTCAGCTTACAGTCATCATGCACAGCCATTCCAGATGCAGCATTCGCCTGCATTTATTAATATGTCAAAACAGAAAAGGGAGAGTCGACGCCACCACATTAGTCCCCTCCAGCGAGAAAATTACACTATTTATACATGCTAAATTATGTTTTTGTATATCGCGACTTTATAAGTGTACTAGTATTCTCATGAAGGATTCCCAAGAGCAAGCGTATGATATAATACGAAATCGATAAATTAGCTAAGTATGAAATTGAGTGAAAGATATATACCATGATGCAGGAGAGATCTTTGAATCCGTAAGAGAGAAAGAGGAGACTGATTTACATATGCAACTGCATGTTTTTTCAATGTATATAAAAAGGAATAAAGGGTTGACAATTTTGGCATGTCATGTCCACCACGTCTAACTCTGTTTCTTCCTTCCCTCATATCATGCCATCACACTTCCAATGATCGTGCCACAGACTCCCCCCCACCCACTCTCACATCCAATCACTCATCAAACTCATAGTTTTTCCAACCAATCATTTTCATTCTACGACCTAATGGTCTCCAGACTATCGAAAGTCTTGTAAGCATCATAACCATAGCTATAACTAAATTTTAAGTTTATTTGTACAATTGAATTGTATCTTTTTTTTTTTTAGTTATTATGCCATAACAAATTTTGGTGTTTTTTTATTGAAATTGGAAAAAGGATATATATATATAAGTAAAGTTGAAGTTTGATCGAAATTGGAAAAAAGATATATATAAGTAAAGTTGAAGTTTGATTAAAATTGGAAAAAGGATATATATAAGTAAAGTTAGAGTTGAGAAAAAGTATTGAAAGTCAAAATTATATTTAGGCATTAATTTCTGGCGAAATAGACATTTCACTTGAAACTATCAAACCAATTTAAAATCAATATATATCTGAAATTAGTTGAAATATAATTAGTCTTAAAACAGTTCCGATCTATCAAAATCATACTCTACACATGAATACAAGTTCATTAATACTCATATATTATTATAAAAGTTAGATTAAAAAATCAATTCTAAAAATCAAAATTAAAAAAGTCTTTCGAAATCATTTGACTTGTTAGATAAGAATTAACTCAAACATACAATTTATTCATAGACGGAATTCAAATTTCATTTCAAATTATCAATTTACACTTTCTTAAACTTTGAGCGAAAAGTTCCAAAATAATTCATTTCTTACCCGCAATAATTTCATGTAATAAACGAAGAATCAATGGGGATTTACCAAAAGAAGGGTTGGACACTTATCCAAGTTAATTTCAAAGAATCATTCTACCTTTCAAAAATTATCTAATAAAGTCACTAAATTTTGTTTTGTATCAATAAAATCATTTAATTTAGATTTTTATATCAATAATATCATCCCAACTAAATTTATTATGAAAATAAATTTGACCTGACAAAATTATTTTTTAAATCATATGCTAATTTCACTTTTAAAGATAAAAAAATAATTAAAAACAAATTAAGCCCTTTTTTTTCATTGCAAAACGTAAAATCAAAGTCGTAAAACTGTCACGGAATCTAATTACAACAAATCCATTCAACATTGATGGATTATTTTTTTTTGGTAATTTAACTACTCCTAATTTTTCCTTCTAAATAATATTAAAAAAATCATAACAAATTACAGTAGTTAAATATGATTTTTTTTAACATAAATAAAATCATTTAGATTAATTATTATTCTTTTTTTGGGTACTTATTTAAATTAATTATAATGAAGTGTATTTATTTTGAGACATTTGTTTATTATTATTTTAATAATGAACATGACATAAAAAAATATTTTAATTATAAATTTAGTTGAGTGATTTTATTGATAGAAAATTTTAAGTTGAGTGATTGTTGGTTTTTAAAAAGGTGTGAATGGAAAATGAAGAGTTCGACTTTTATGAAGAGTTTTGACTTTTATGAAAAGTTGCGACTTTTATGAAAGGTGACGACCTTTCTGAAAGATTGTGACTTTTCCAAAGGTTTGTGACCTTTTCGGTAAGGCACAATAAGAACCTTTTCGCACAACCCTTTGTTTTTTATAAATTGAGGGATTTCCTCTCATTTTAATATAGAATTCATGGACTTCTTATTCAACTACTAAATCTAGTATTTTAAGTGTAGTATTATAAGTGTACTTTACTGCGGTTGAATGATTCGCTGACACCGGAGTTTTTGATATCTATACTCTGGTGATTGAGATCATTTTACCTTGGGAGGTCATATTCCAAATCAAACCTCGGATACTAGAGGGGAATAATTTACTTAAGGGGACACTGTGAGTTCAGTGGACATTATCTTTTTTCTATTAAAAAATTCTAGATTCTGGTACGTGTTTTACAATTTTAGATTTGTGAATTAATTTCAATTCTCCTATTCTTCACTGGTTCATTAAATTTGGTAACTTCGTGTTTCTGCAAAGTTTGTTGAAATCAGTAAGATTCTTTAGACACATGTTAACAATAATTCTTCTTTAAAAAATATATTTCGTATATTTTTTAAAAATCTATTTCTGATTCTAGTTTCGCTACTAGTTTTAATTTTCTAGTTGTGAAAATGTTCTTAAACTTTGTTGTCTTACAAAGATGTTCATAGTTTTGTTCTAAGTATGTTTAGAATACAAGATGAACAACAATTTTATTGATATAAAATTTTAATTTGAATGCTTTATTGATATAAAATAAAATTTGATGATTTTGCTAAATGATTTTTCAAATTGAATAACCTTTTGAGATATTAACTCCACTTATCCCTACAAATAATCTTTGAATATCCCATAAAATTCATCCAAATCTAAGCTCTAGAACTCTCAATTTCATTGCAAACGTGAAGGGTGTCTTATGATGGCGTAGAAGGGTGTTTGGCACAAATATAAGCAATTTCAAACTCAACCAAAAATCCAAACCTCGAAAGTTATTTGGAACCCTTTAATATAAATCAATTATGCAAATCAGCCGTAAGGCTTAAGCATATTAGTGGCCTTAAACGAAAATCAAACAGGGTCTTAAACTTGAATTGTTAATAATTTTTATATAACTGATTTCTTCTAGCTTTCTATGTGATAATATAATGATTCTTATTTTAAATTATTTTTCATGAGATATAGTACTCTAATTTCTTATATGAATTCCTTAATTTTTCCTGAAAAATTTACTTTTTTTACAAATAGTTTCAATATTTCTTAAAAATTAATAACTTACAACCTATTATTACTAAAAATGAAACCCCTAAAATTTAGGATCCTAAGATACATTACTTTTTTTTAACACTGTAAGTCACCCTGTCAACAGTAGAACACATTCCAAGATTATTCAAATCAAAAGTTGACCGAGGTCAACTTAAGAGTTAAGAAAAATTTAAATCCAACCAAATGACTAGAACATCCCTGAAAGCCTCGAAATTGAGTCACACTTAGCCAAAAATGGCCAAGTGTACTAAGTGGAACAATCAATAAACGGATCCAACCTCATTAGCATCAAATGTTGACTCTGGTCAAATTTTCGAAATTCTAAACTTCCAAATTATAAAAACTCCAACAAATCCATTCGACCACCTTAAGAATCGAACCACACATTTCTACAAATGATAAATACCATTCCAAAGCCATTGAGAGGGTCACACGAGAAAAATAAGTAAAAAAAGAGTATGTAACCACATTGAGGGTCGTTATATATCCTACATGTTCCCCTAACCAATATAATAAATCATAAAATTTCATTTGGTTCTATTCAAGCATTCTTAAAGTAGTAGATATGTATATAGTGAACTAAATTCTTTGTGTGAATGCGAGAAATTGTTCTTTGATGTTAAGTTCTTGAATATATTTGATTCCTAGATTTGAATGTAAGAACTATTTCTTCTTGTAAGGGCACTTTTTTCATGATACATAGATGATATGATTAGCTTTATACACAAACTAGGTGAACGACAAGAATTTGTCTATGAGGTTAGAAATTTATCATTTGATTAGGTTAATTTGTATATCATGCATGATGATCATAAAGTATACTGAGAAATCCATTAATGGAGATTGATTCTTAGGTCAATTTACAGAAATAATGAAAGAGGAGAAGGAATTGTATTGATTATTATAAGATCTAATCCATTGAATCTGTACGACTATCCTTTTTATACTTGTACATTAGGTCACATATACAAAAATATCTAAAATTGATTTGTAACTAACTACTGTAAGCTCAGCATTCTGTTTAGTTGACTACACTTATGATTTAGCTAACTCAACCATTCAGCTTGTTAACTCTATGCATTAGTTAACACTCCCCCTCAAGCTGATGATTGAAAGACATTTTTCATTCCAAGCTTGTTTATTAGTAGTCCATGTTGTGATTATCTAGGCTTTTAGTTAGCAGATCAGCAGGTTGCATTTTGGTGTTGATGTGTTTAGTTTTCAATATCACTTGACAAATCCTTTCTCTAACAAAGTGGCAATCGATGTCTATGTGTTTTGTTCTTTCATGGAATATAGGATTGGATGCTATTTGAATAGCTGCTTTGCTATCACAAACCATTTTGATAGGATGTGTTAAGCTGACTCCCAACTCTTTGTATAGACCTATTAACCAAGTTACTTCAACTGCACATGCAGACATGCTTATGAACTCGCTTCAGCTGAGCTTCTTGAGACTGTTCCTTTCTTCTTAGACTTCCAAGAGATTAAACCACCTCCAAACTTTACTAGATATCCTGTAACAAACTTCCTAGTTTCTAGACATGCACCCCAATTTGAGTCACAATAAGCTATTAGTTGTGTGGTCAGTTCTGCTGGCATCAATATTCCTAGACCAGGAGCTTCATTGATATACCTCACTGCTCTCGATGCTGCTTCCAAATGTGATTACTTAGGACCATGCATGAATTGACTGAGTATTTGAGCAGTAAATGCAAGATCTGGCCTGGTTATGGTTAAGTAGAGAAGCTTTCCAGAGTTTTAACAATAGTAGAGAACACATTTTGTACTTGAAGAAGAAAATTTTCTAATACTACAATGGCGTCAGCTTTAGAAGTAACTAGGAAAATCCAAGTGTATCTACTATAGTCATCCACAACAGTAACAAAGAACCTCTTTCCATTATGAGTGGGCACTTTGTAAGGACCCCAAATATCACAATGTAAGAGTTCAAATACAACTTTGGACTTATGAGTACTTAAAGCAAAAGGAAGTTTAGTCTGCTTGGCTATAGGACAGGTAGTACAGTGAGACTATCTTTATCGCTCAAGAATCTAAGAGAATCATGTTTCTTTATTACATCAATAGGAGTATGTCCTAATCTCTTGTGCCAGCTGTTACTAGATTCAGTCTTTACAGAATTAGCATGTGCT